ATTAGGCTGCAACAACACTCATCCCTCACTGAGTAGCTCTGGCCATGTGTGTGCAATTCATAATGCATACAGGTGCAAACACGCAATTATTACACCTATACTGCAGGAGCTACAAACACATGCAGTAGCCACAGAGGTAAGAAGCGACTGCCTTGCATTTTGTTGTGGTACTTGTAATAGAAAACAAGACTAACACATTCGTGCACGCACACACACACACACAGAACAACACAATACGCTTTTATCTTATCGAGTCACACCTTGCAGTGTTGTGTTTCTCACAGGTTTGTGAAACTCCCTTTGTCCTCATCCTTATATGCATGGAAACAGTGTGGCCCCAGCTCGCAAGCAGGGATTCACAAACACACACATACTGATCTTTATTGAGAAAAAAGATGTCAAAGGCTACAAATGTGAGCTCCTAGCATCTTCTCTGCTCGCACACTGAGCGGCTCACCGCCTGATAGTTGACCTTTTGCTGGTTTTAACCGTCTGCGCCTATAGTGTCAACAAAAGAGATACACATTCTCAGACAAGTCCTTCACACGCCACAAAACGAGATTAAAAAGGCTGTGTGGTATCTATTATTTTGCCCCCCCGGCAAAGACTCGGCCTTCTCTGGTATCTCCAAGAATTCTCCGCACAAGCAGAACTGATATTTCTCTTCATTTCAACAGTGACTTTGGCTACCACCTATCTGATTAGATGCTTGCATGTCTGCCTGTGTAGATACGTGCAAGCATTTTTTTTCGTCTCGCCAGAGCCAGATGGCAGAGAATGTTTAGTCAAACGGGATTAGAGATTAGGATTAGGTGGACTTCAAATTACCTAGATGCACAGTCACTGGGTGACACACTACTACAAGCAGAGCTCTGAGAAGCCCACAAAGCTCAAATACAGACGTCCATTGAGCTCAATTAGAGGACAAACTAGAGAAATTAATGAGGAGAATGATTAAAAATAAAGGTCTGACTGGTTAAAAAGACAGTATCACAGTTACTTTACAAGAAATCATCAAAGGAAAGTTTACTCAATTTCTTTTATTAGGAAGTTCCTTGAGAATAGTCACATAGCTATCTCTATGCTATGCTAATTAAACAGCTACTGCCTGGAGCTAATCTTAGCATAAAGACTGAAAACAGGCCGCTTCTATTTATAGGTGAAAAGCACCAACAGAAAGTGCCGCAGGAATGAGCTGGGAAACCAATCTAACTCCAGTTGACCCACTGTTGGTCCTAAGCACTGGGCATTAGGCTAATTAGGTACCTTAGCTAAAAGCTTTTACCTCTAAAAGCTTTTAGCTAATCTTAGCGACCACTCTTAAACCAGTTGGAGAATACTCATTTTTACCTTGTGACTGGAGGTTGGCAGGGGGTCGTGACTAGTCTCAAGGCTTGCGCAAGTGAGGCCTTGATGTTAGCAGTTCATCTACCACCATGTTGGTTTTGTAGAGCTATATTTTGACGTGAGGACCAGTGCTAAATTATCAGCTAATGCTAGCAAACTTGATTAACATCTGCATCCAGAAAGTACTGCAAAACACAGACACCTACTCATAGGGCTGCTCAATTAATTGAATTTTAATCTAAATTATGATCTGGGCTTTCAACGATCATTAAAAATGACTGAGCCGATTATTATCACCTCCCTCGTGCTTTACTCTCGCACTGCTCCTGTAGCAAATCGAGCGCATCTCTCTGCGTTTCGAACACGCGTCACAACAATTAAGAGGACCCGAGGGAAGCTTGGAAAGCTAAGCAGAAGTTATTTGGAGAGGAGAGAGTGACTGTCGTTGGTTGAAAAGAGAGGTTAAAAAAAAAAAACCTTCAGTGGTGTGGAAACATTATGGGTTCGCGGAGTCAGACGTGGATCAAGTAGACATAGTGTGTAAACGTTGCTACGGTGTCGTAGCTGCACCACAGAGCTACACTGCAAAGTTCACTAAACATAGATGTTTACATTTTTCATTTATTTTTTATATTGCAAACATTTGCACTGTTATCAGTATTTGCACATTATTTTATATTATTTTTGACAATCTTTAAAGCCATTATTCAATACATTGTTATTGTTAAATAAATATTGTCAAATAATCGAGATCTCAATTTCAGTGAAAATAATCGTGATTATCATTTTTGCCATAATCGAGCAGCCCTACCTGCTCATTACTGCTAACAGCCTAATGAAGTACAACATTTTCAGTCATCAAATCTGAAGCAGAATCCTTCTGCCTGTAGCGCTGATAAAGCCGGGTTATTTGTCAGATAATTCCAGTAATAATGCTCTAAAAGGCACTAGCAGCAAAAACACGGTTGAGAAGTCCAGTTCAATGACTTCAATGACTCCAATTAGTGGAGAGAGGCCTTGAAGAAACCCAAACATTGTATTTAAAAGTTTCCTAGCCTTGTCTTTCCCTCCTTTAAATTGTCAGCAGCCTCCTTTCAGTGTCTTAACAGTACAGATGGAGTGCACCTTAATCGAAGAGTTTGGTTGGTCTAGAAACTGAAATTAACAGTACCTCAGCGGTAAAAATGCACTTACTGCTTGAAAGAAAAATAGACCAATCAAAATGTTTTCATGGGTATTATTCGAGGTGGCCAATTGCAGGTGCTTATGAACAACTAGCATGGAAACATACTTAGCCTCCACCTTTGGTAAACTGTTTAGAATCTCTTTCTGTTGAGCTGTCAGGCAGGCTAATATCAGCTCTGCTCTGGAGAGTCAGGCTACCAATGCGTGAGGTTGTGTGAAGTCTGGTTTATACCGTTGATTTACAGCCCACGCAGGAGGCAGTATATGGAGCACTAAAGGCCAAGGCCCCAAGGTGAACAGGCCAGACCAATGGACATCTTTAGGCTACCGCATGTACAGTTCCCCTATACTGGGCCTCATGTATGGGGCGGTATGTGCTCAGAGCATTTAAAAATACTGACTGGCTATGGTGAGGACTGGACAGAGAGAGGGAGAAGCAGAAAAGTGCTGAAACTGGGAGAATCATTGTATGGCTCACTAACTGATGCAGCTATGCATGCAAACACATGCACATACATAGGGTAGATTTAGAAGAAGGGTGGCAGCTACAGCTGCAGTACACCACCCCAGCCTGTTTCAAAGCTTTAATCATTCAGTGCGTGCATCGATGACACGTTGCTTCACAGTGTGCACATCGCTAATTAGCCTTGTGACTGTGGATACTGGCATTCCAGTCAAGGTGCTTTATGTCACCGAATTGCGCAAGCTTGGCTCTTAAATGTGAGGTGATTCAGTGGTGCTTGGAGGTGCCAAGCCAGACTCGCTGAGCCACTCAAGATAACTACACACCATGTGTAAAATTACTAAAGAAAATGCGAGGCATTTAACAGCACGTTGGATGCCTGACAGTAACGCTTTTTCCTCATTCAAAGATCCCTCTCGTTGGTTTTTTGTCATTACAGAGATCACCAAGATGAAAAAAGTACTGCAGTGGAAAAAAATAGAGCCATAGCTGATTCGAAATGGACAACAGAAGGAAAGAAAAACAAACCATCCAAACAGAGGAGTGGTTATAAAAACCAGACACGAGCCGTACAGTGACCTTTGCTATCACTGTGACTCCCGTACTGTATGGTAATACCCCAGTAAGCTGGAGGCCTGACCCAGTTTGGAAAGAGAGAGAATGTGGAACACAACTCACGCAGACAGACGCACACTTCCAGCTATTATGCTGCTGGAAATATTTTTAGCCATGTGGATGAGGTCAACTTCTGGGAGCCTGTGAACTAAACTCTGTAATTCCTCAGACTGTAAGACCGCAACTGAAAACTTAAAGACAGAGAGCGTTAACGCAGGAGCAAGGTGAGGAGACGGAAAAGCACCGCCAAAGAAAGCCTCTGGAGCAATGCCAGGTATTGTGGCTTTACAGCGGGGGGAAGACACGCCTCGGGTTGAAAGCGGTACGGCACGCTGCCGGATAAACAAAGACCTGCAATCACCGCTGTGAAAACACACTCCTCTCACAGCCTGACCTGCTGGTGGTTTACACCGTCGTCAGGGCTGAAATGAGCTCGGCTGGGCTCCACTCAGGAGATAAACCACGCCAATCAGGTGACTAGTGAACAAAAGACCAGAAACAACATATTTCATGAGTGTAAAATGAGGTGGCAGCCGGCAAACAAAGGACCAAGCTCAGTGCTGTGTCAGCAGGCCAATGAGAGCTCAATGAGACCAAGGTTAAACTGCTGCTGTCACATCGAGAGACCCCTGAAATCCAATTTTGTGCTTTCTACTTCTCGTTTGAGTGGCATAAAAGCACCGTCACTTGGATAAATACAATTTAGACTTCCTAGGATTATGAAAACAACATAATTGGGATCCAAATGCTTCTTTCCCAAAAGTCCAAACTCGAGCCAAGATGAGAGAAGGAGAGCGTCCGATCACCTAAAGAAGTTATCGTCAGGTAAACCTGGGGAAGGACTCGTTATGTCATCGAGGGTCTCTCACCTGACCACATGGGGTGACGTGTGAGTTGGTTGGCAGTCCATCAGGGTCTCTGCATGGCTGCAGTCTCCTAAAAGACCCGAGTCTGCTGCAGCTTGGCTCTGTCTTCCACAGTGGGTGGAGGCTGGAGGTCCACAGCTGTCTTTACTGTCAATGCTATAGCGTTAAGTCCGTGTCCCCCCGATTTCGCCCCCTAAACGTGTATGTAATTAGTTCTGTTTGTCTGTAACGGTGTAGCATCCACAGTTTTCAAGATATCATCTTCAAGTTTTGCGTGATGGTAGACCCCAAAACCAGCACGAGCTGTTCAGTAAATCAGCAAAAACTTCATATTACCCACAATCTTTTTTATGGATCATTTACCAACTTCACAACAATACACTAGGCCTCAGCAGACAACAGTATCTATGTTGGCTAAGCATTTGACCTTGACCTTCATTGTTAGTGCGCGCTCTGAGTGCTCATTTCATTTGAATTCTCTATAAAGTTTTGGGAAATTCCAAAAAGAGACTTTTTTTTTCCAGTTTAATAAAAATATGTTTAATAATAAAATATTTTACGTCACAAGATTACAGGTTCGGAGCATGAGCTGAGAAAACTTTGGGAGTTTATTTGAAATAAAGGTGACCGGGCCTAATACTAACAATCTGTCCTGAAGCCTGAAATGCTGACAAACTAGAGAGTCCATAGCAGTGGTATATACAGCACAGTCTTAAAAAATAGAAAAATAAACCTCTCTTAAAATTTACATTAGATTTTCAGGCAGTGTTAAAAAATAAATTATGATTTGTTTTTTTTATTCTTTGCCTGCACACGCCATAAATCATGTACTTCATTCACTTCGGTCTGTGTTGCTACTGGAAAGAAAAAGAAAAAAAAATGCTGCAAGAACCTGAAGCTCGAGGGCTTCAGCATCTATGAAGGAGGGATTTTTTGTTGGAATTCAGGAATTAATAAATAAATTCGATCCTATGGAAACCAGGAATTAATCATATAAGTACTGGATGGAGACCTGAGTGAAGATGGATGTGGATCAGAGTCAGTGCAGGCTTTTTAAAGAGTCACTGGTACTTCCTCATGTGTCGTCCCAGAAGAGTCCTGATCACCGCTGCCCGGAGCAACAGTATCACAAGAGTCTTTTAAAAGAGTCTCTGCTGCAGAGTCGGAAGGTGCGCTGGTCCTCTGCGACTGGTCACAGGATGGATCGCACTTCCTCTTCTTCCTCACATGATAGTGATGCTTCTTGGATTTCAGGTGAGCTGCGGGTACAGAGGATAAACGACACGCCTTGGATATATTTAGCAAGACAGACAGAGAAACAGACCAAGTCACCAAGAGGCCAAGTCACAAGACTTGGTGCAACAGGGCCCAGAGGTGATCAGGTGAGCATGTAGAGAAAAGAAATCTGTTTTTGGCACTGGGCATGAATCTCCACAGAATCTTAAGGCAGCGCTAAACAGTCAAATACATAACATGGTACGACTTCTTTAGTACTTCTCAGTTTGCTTGTCCTCGGTGCTTTGATGAACATGTTAGTATCGTTAGCAAACGTCTATATTCACATTCAGCTTCCCCCCCCCCACATGCTTATGCCTCACCTGTCCACTCCAGGTCACCGATGATCACTTTGTCACACAGGTCACACATGTGGTGGCTCCGCTTGTTTCTCTGCTCCGCCCCCTGCGCTCTGACTGGTGCAATAGCTGGCTCCTCATGCTGAGAAGTGGAGCGAAAAAAGTCTGTTTTTTTTTTAAGGTTTTAAATCTGAAAAAAATATTTATGATGTGCTAAAACAAACTTTTAGGGAACAAAAAAGGGAACGGAAGCAGAACATCGGATAGGCAGCAGAGTAAAGCATGATTTATGGTCCCATAAATGTGCCCGATTGTGTGATCCTCCGAGATCTTGTAATGGAGAGACGTATGAGTCTACGGAATGCTGAATGGTTGACAAGTGGCGTTCACTGGGATGGGTGAACCGTGGAAAAACAAGCAGTGTGGTAATGCTAAATATCACAAGCAAACAAGTAACCTAAATTCGGCTAACAGCAAACGTGTTGCAGAAGACAATTTTATACAAACAAAGGCCTTTTTTCCTTTTTCAACCAAAGAACAAACTAGACTTTGACATCGAGGTCACTGAGATTCAAACATTTTTAATAGTTTCATCCGTGATGTCAATTTTAAAATTCTACGTTGCCTCGTTCTCAAATTATATTATTCACAAACTCGGGTGTCCACACCACCCGCCTGGCGGTGTGGCAACAACACGCCATCGTCCTTTGACAACTGAAGGACAAAAAAAGAATTAGGAAATCGCAGAAAGGAAAAATAAAAAGAAGTAAAATTAATAAAAATGGGACAAAAAAAAGCCCAAATAAGGCAAATCCAAGGAAGAAGGGCATATGCTCAAAAGGAGGAATAAATAAGAGCAAACAAGGAGAGGAACACACTAATGGCAAAAGGATGAAAGGAAGGAAATGTAAAACCACAAAGTACGCAATGAAAAGATAAAGAATGATAAAGAGTAGCGAAAGGAACTGAAGTAAAAGAGAAAGATTCCACAGCACCAGATGAAAGCAGCCAACAGGAAGCTGCCACTTTAGACTGCTGAGGCCCCACCTTACTGAGGCTGTCCAGTATCTGCAGTGCAGGGTCCAGCACCGTCTCCTCCCACCGTGACACGTCCGTCACATCCAGGCCATACACTGCAGGGATGTTGTCCCCTGGTCCTGTACACACATACACACAGAAAGGTCAAAAACACACACTTATACATTTGACAAGGACAACGAGGACTTGATTTGATATTGGATTCAGTGTTTCCAACGATTTATTTTTAATAAACAGGTGGAGGGGAAAAAAAGCCTTGACAAAAAAACTTTCAGACCTCTGACAGTGACAGTGCTCATTGTACACAAATAAATAAATAAATATATAAATAAAACAATGAAGCTCCGGAGGGTCTGTCTGCAAACTACAACGGCTGAGACAGGCCAGTTCAAACTGGGTAACGCACAGGAGCGGCGATGTGCTGGAGCCGCACCCTGAAGCTCCATCAACCTGCTGACTCACACTGGCTCGATAATGTCTCCCCCCTCCTTCCTCCCACCCTCGTGTCTTGTGCGCCGTCTCTCTTTCTCTCCCGCCATCAGTCTCGCTTCAGCTTTCACTCACTGTCTCACCCTCAAACTCTTCCACCCCCGTGTTTCTATTTTGCATCAGTCAGCAGTCTCCGGGCCAGGCCTCGGGAACGCAACGGCAGCACCAGACCTTGCCCCGCTCCTGTCTCTGTCTATCCCAGCGCTCGCCTGCATCCAGAGCCGCTGCCCTTCAAGGCGTACCGTGGAAATTTAGATCGGTGCAACTTGCAGAGAGTGACTTCTAACAGATGCAACTTTTTAATGATTAAATAAATGAGCAGGAAAACAGAAAAAAAGAAAAAGAGTCTGAGCTCCATTTTTTGACTCTTTCGTGTCAGTGCACATTACGACACATTGTCACACAAGTTGTCTTCACTTTCTCCTTTTATTGTACTAAAGAGTTTTTCCTCCAGATGGTTAGAAAATACAAACAGACGGGGTTTTAAATGACATTCAAAGCTAGCTAGATGGTTATCTTTTCAAGGAATCAAGGTTACGACTGCGGTCTGAATGCACGAGAGAGGCGCAAACTCTGAGGCTGTACTCAGACACGACGCAGCGAAAAGAAACCAACCTGACTCCAGACGAGACAGCAGCAACCATGACTGAACAAACGTGCAGGTGCAGCAGAACCTTATTTCAAACCTTCTTCATGCTAAAAACTGGAGCCTACATTACCCAGAATACAACTCGACAGCTTACAGCTCGGGGATTTGGTTGTGCTTTTGCGCCTTCATGTTCGGTTCGGTTGGCTGAAAGGGAAAATTTGCGAAAATGCGTCGGAAAGCCGGAGAACATTTTTGTCTATAAGTTGCCAAGCTTACAGAAAAACATGGTGGATGGCGGTAAATGTTAATGAATGGGTCAAATGTACAGTACTGTGCAAAATCCTTCCATTAAAAATAAAAAAATAAAAAAAAATCTGCTTCCAAGGAGCCAGACATTCGTGTAATTGTTTAAAGTGGTTTCGAGGAAATGGTTCTCCAGGCTTTCTGGAGCTCTCTCAACACTTTGGACAATGTTTGCTTTTCACCTCAACCACTGGCAACCTCTGATTTTGCCTCATATACTGCATTACCCTGCATGTTTGCAGGTCACAGTCACTGCAACCGTTTCCCTTTTTTCCATCAAAACACAACAAAACCACATTGCATACTTCTGCATGCAATGCATATAATTTTTACATTGAATGCAATTTAAAAAAAATAAACGTTAGACTGTCGACACCTTAAACACAAAGGAATAATATATAACACATCATCTCTGTAGCCACTCCATTATGTTAGAAAAGGTTAGAAAAACTCATTCTAAATTAGGCAAACTGGACAATCTACAGAACGCGTGAATCTGGGGTTGTTCTGGTTTTCCAACTTTGGTAACTCAAAGTCTGATTAGAATATATGTGTGTTAAGCTCACACTCTCAGGTAAGCGAATCCCATTAACCTATAAAGCGCTGTTTGCCAACTCAATTATGTCTTAATCCTTTCTACACAAAGTCAACTGTGGATTTGAGGGCAGCAGACATCCTATAGACTGAACTCCACTGGGAGCCGTCTGGGCCTCCATTATCACAGAGAGACACAGAGTCCTGACTGTATGACTAACAGTGTTGACTTTGTCAGAGGACTGACTGTGGCGCTGTGTGTGTGTGTGTGGGAACAATGAGTCCCCATACAGCCACACCCGGCAGCTCTACACTTACAATTCACTCTTGGTACAAACTGCAGTTCAACTGCCACTGGGTGAAATTTGCATATTGTAGGCTTAATCTGCAGTCAGCGATTTAAACACGTGACATATTTTACTCTTTCATGCTGAGACCAGCTGTGCTTAAATTAATCTGACACAAGGTTCAAATGCAAAAACAAACAAAAGGCTCCTTAATAGCAGAATCTCACCCTGCACCTGCATCATTTGGCTTCACAGCATGTGTTTTTTCCCCTCCTCTTATCTGTGTGCACCACTTATCCTCAAAACTTTGTCCTCAACTCAGTCGGGCTTGTCTGTGTGTTGTCAAACAGCAGTTACTGTTAATCAAAGCCTCTGATTCTATTTGCATGGTTCCTGCATGTGAGTGTGGAGGTAAGTCTTTTGTGTTGGCGGCACAATACCAGGCAGGTGGCGGCGGCAGCAAGTGTCACCTGGCGTACCTGCACCAGATGCAGAGTTGGCGATCTCGCCTTCAGGTTCTCTAATATTTACTTCACCTCAGCAGTGGGCATTCTGCGCCCTCCTGTTGACACTATCTGTTTCCTTACTTTGTGTTTTTATCTCTCTCAGCACCCTCCTACAATTCCCTTCTGCAGTCGCTAACCTCCCCCCTGGGCAGAGTGGAGCGGTGGTAAATAAAAGGGGAGATACTGTACGGTGGGCTGCCAGATGCTCCACAATGATTCTCGTTTGGGATCTGGTGAAATTTAACCCCGCTAATCCGCAACATCTCGAATGAGAGTTGATAAGAAATGCCGAAGGGACAAAGGGCGGGGTGGTCGGTGTGGGCGCGCGCACGCACACTTGGAGAAAACACAAAGCGTGAGCGCTGCCTTTCGAGTGCACAGGGGAGATGGCCTTGCCAACAATAAGGAGCAGAATCTGTCGCTGGGCAGCTGCCTGCCAGCGCCGGGTGTGTGCGCGCGTGTTGAAACAGTCGTCCACCTGTTGCAACAAGCGGGCGAGAAGTCATTTGCTGTGTTATCCTTGTGTTTGCTGAGTGAGGATGTGCGGCTGTGTGTGCTTTGCTATAAAAGCTCCGCTACCAGCCTCAGCGCGATGTCCCCTGGCCCAGCTGTGCTTCTTTGGCTGCCACCCACACTGGAACACCGCAGCTGCTGCTATTGACTCAACTGCCTCCTTCCCCTTTCCTAAAGTTCCTCTTCCACTTCTCGTCTCACTCAGCTCCGTCGTTTAACTGTTGTTTGTGATCGAATTTCTGAAGCAGGTTGAGTACGGCTGGTTCAAGTTTCCTTTGGGAGGTAGGGATCTGTAAAGAGTGGACTTTATTTCTGGGGATTTTTTGTGGAATGAGGGAATCTAAAGTCTAAGCTCTTTATACATTAAGCTGCATCCTCACACAGGAAGCATTCACAGTGACATGGTAACCTCAGATCACAGAAAGTAGGAGCAGAACATAATCTATTAGTGATGAGAAGTAAGCAGATTTTGAGAAAAACTTTATCTCAGCCTCAAGGTGAGCAGTTGAAACCGCTACCAATGAGAGCGCAGTATACTGGTGATTAATGCAGCTTATTTGCACACTCCTAAAGAGATAAACATTCTCTAAAGAAGTATTAGGTCCCCACATTTCCGGCTACCACAGACTGACTACAATCATATCGATCAATCGGTTACAAATGATCATGAGAAACATGGTGGATCAGCCCAACACTACACGGGAGAACCTTGTTAATGATCTGCAGGCAGTTGGGACCACAGCACCAAAAACACCAAATACTGAGTCGTGTTTTGCTTGGGGTTTTTTTCCACTCAGTGACACGCAAATTAATTTATAACTTTTACGTAATGTGTTTTTTTCCCCAGATTTCTGGTTGATATTCTGGCTGTAACTATCATAAGAATTAAATCCTGCAGCAGGATGAACATGTCATGTAGATTCACAAAGCTGAAACTGATCGTCAAACTACACCGAATCATTCAGGCCGTTCACCAACACTGGACACACCTCAGAGTCCAAGTGCAAAGTACAGTAGTGCGTTTCAAAGAGACGAGAGGAGAAGCGTGGCAAGCAAATCTGTAAATGCAGTTGGATCTTCCTAAAAGTTCTTTGACACATCGCTCAACAGCAAACAGCAGCCTCACACTCCACAGAAATTAAAGTGTGCGAGAGAAGCTGCCGCATTAACCGAAAAGTGCAGCGGAAGTCGCTTTGCTTTAATTAGCTGTGAAGTGTGAAGATAAGCTAAGAGTGCAGGCTAGCAGTTCCTGGACTTTGCATAAACAAGAGATCAACTTCTCGTAAGTGGAAAAAAACAACAAGTGGCACCAACTGTTTATACGGAAGACTTTAGCATCCTTCACCTACTTTTTTTTTTTTTTTTAAATGGGCAAACTATTTTGGGTCAGCATTACTGCTCTCACAGTTCATAGACCAGGAGTGGGGAAGTCCAAGCCTCAAGGGCTGGTTACCTGCAGGTTTTAGATATCACCCTGGGTCAGCACACCTGAATCAAATGATCAGTTCATTACCAGGCCTCTGGAGAACTTCAGGACATGTTGAGGAGGTCATTTAGCCATTTAAACCAGCTGTGTTGGATCAAGGACACATCTAAAACCTGCAGGACACCGGCCCTTGAGGCCTGGAGCTGGACACCCCTGACATAGACAGTGAACTGCCCAGATAGTTTTGAGGCTCAGACAATGGGACTGTGAATACAAATGGACAGAATTCATAAACCATTAAACCCCATAAAGGAGGCAAAATTACAAAAAAACCCCCCCAAAAACCTGGCAATGTCCAAATACTTACAGACACAACTATAAGTCACTCTGTGTTTTTCACAATGGCAGATGTGTTTTGTAATGAATGACTGTCTCTCCTGATTCACATGTACCCTGTGGCATTTGTATGAGCCACTGCGGCGTAGCGGTTGAATCCTCTATGACAAGCCAGTTATATTTGTTCTGAGGAGTAGAGACGAGTCTTTTTCTTATTACACCATCTCTTCCCCACCTCACCTCAGCAAAATAAGATTTTAGATTTCTCGTCAGCGTTTGACGTTTCCGCCTAAACATATCCTGCCCGTCTGCTGAGCGGAGGTCACAGAGAGGTCTCTTTGGCAACAACAACACAGTCTTGTTTTTATCCATGGTATGAGATTGCATTTATTTATTTGTGTGTGTGTGTGTGTGTGTGTGTGTGTGTGTGTGTGTGTGTGTGTGTGTGTGTGTGTGTGTGCGCGCGTGAGAGAGAGAGAGAGAGAGTTCATGAAGGTTTCACACTTGCTAGTGGACAAGGGTGTAAACTCACCCCACACCTGTTGCCTCAGCTGGATCAAATTACTCTCCCTTCTTTAACCAACCCAGCCGTCCATGTGCCATTCCTCTCAGTCGCCCTCCATCCATCCTTTACTCACTCATTTACTCCTGGGACTGAACGACACCTATCCCCCTGTTACTTAATGCTCACGAGGCCTTGGTCAAACTACACCTGCGTAACCTGGTTACAGGTGCTGTTTGCACTTGTATGCCTGCCTTGTGGGAGTTTTACTAAACAGAGGGAGCTGCCTCATCTGCATTAGATTCAGCACCTGATAAAAGGAATATAACCTCAGATTACTATGTAGTTTAAGGGTAATTAAATCAACTAATTAACTCCACCCCCCTCGCCACGCACACACTATAGGTGTACACCCACACACAGCCCCAAATAAAGGCAAGTCAAATTAAGCTTGATTTCTTCTAAGCTGGCTGACCTGGTGCTTAAATCCTCACAGCAACCAGAGCTGAGTCCATCAACAACCACGTATCCTGCTGAGAAGTATTTAAAGCACTGAACGCCCACCAACTCTCGCTCTGACATTTGCTACTAAACGTGAACCGTAAAACTGGGTTAAACTTATGCCTTCGAGGCATGTGATTCAGCCTACATATAAAGTCAGCATTCAGATTATGTTCTAGCTTCTTTAATCTACTTCATTGTTAGCCTGACTGAGGCTCTGTCGTTTTCAATTTGTCTTTCCCTTTGACCCACTAGTTTCTGCATGCCTGGGTTGGTCTGCGCGGACCCCAGCGACCCTGTTGCCCGCGTTTGTGTGGTCGGGGCACATTCCCAGCAGCTCTGTAACGCTTCAAGAGATTAGCCTGCTCAGCTGAGGCCTGCCGGCATCTGTGCGGGCATGTGTGGGACTCGGGCGAAACAGAAAAGGAGGTCAGCAGTCAGAGCAAGACAGAGAGGTCAACGGAGATGATGCAGAACAGAAAGGTGGATGAGAGCAAAACTTTGGTTAGGGGCATCCCCCAACCAGGGGTAGCATTACAGGGCTGTCCTTGGGCAAATCTTTAATTAATCTAATATGTGTGTTTTTACTATTTGAGCAGATGTGACTAACTCAGACCTTCCCCAACTCTCTTGGTTGGCTCCAACAGCCTGTAGATTGATTTATTTTCAAAGGAACTGGGTCAGATTTGACAATAAACGCCCCGCTGCCCTACAAGCCAACAGTATTCTGCTAGTTACTGACACTGAGAATTGACTGGATCCCAATGATACAAAAACTCCAGCTGTAAACAAAAGCTGATGCGCGTTACCTTTGTAATGCTCAAAGTGTGTAAAATCAAGTTAAAACTAAGAGTTATTTTACAATTTAAACAGTCTAAAAACTTCAGCATGTCTTTGAACTGTCACTTGGGAAAGCATCGTGCCAAAAATAGACTTTTTGGCATTTTTGGGCTTTAGAAAAAGAAGAAGTGATGCTCAAAAAGTAGGACATATACAAAACATTATTACAGCGTTTCCACGTGTCAGGAACAGGAGTCAAAGTATCATCAAGAAATTCAAAGTGAGCCACACAGGACAGAACAAGCCTAGGAGAGGCAGGAAGAGAAAGATTTCAAAGAATCTGGAAAGGAAACTAGTGAGAGATATGCCTAAAGACTCCAGAACCAATGCCAAACACAAGTGAATGACTTAATCTAGCTGGGAATTGTAGTCTCAAAAAAGACAGTCACTAGAAGCCAGCACAGGAATGGACTGTGAGGCTACAGAAGAAGAAAAACTTCCCTTCTCAGAAGCGACACCATCAAGCCAGACTGAAATAGCTAAGGCAGCCTGGAGAAAGATTATGCAATACTGGAATATTGCACATCCTTTGGTCAGATGAGACGAAACTAGAACTAGACGCTGCTTATGCTTACAGAAAGAAGGCAATCAACCCAAAGAACACCGCCCCCCTTAGTGAAACACGGTGCTGGAAGTATTATGCAGTGAGGACGCTTCAGTGCGTGTGGAACTGTAAATCTCGCCAAATAATTCTGTCCTGATCTGTAACAATGAAACACTTTACCATCTCTGCACAGACACCGACAAAAACAACGTCAATGGAGTCAACAGCAAGAACAACATGTTTCCAGAACCACACAAACAGAGAAGGTCATCCGGCAACACAGTCCCTCATGACTCAGCTTTTGCAGCAAAGCCACCCTACAAGGCTGGTGCATTGGGTAATTAAATATGAGCTTGTACATTCTTATCTAGTAACACGAAGGCCTTCTTCAAGCCATTTATCTGGTGCCTGTCAAAAAGGCTGTCCTTCAAATTCTTCCTTGTGATAACTTAACTGTGCAGTGTTTTGGTATTCGCAGCAAAAATCCTTCAAATGACTGATGTGTTTCTTCAAATGGAGTTCCTGGTAAATTTGTGTGTATTACCAGAAGAAACACGACGCCAGGGATGGTTTATCTTCACAACAAAGATACTTTCTTAGTATATCCGTTTGTCTAGTCACCCTTAAAATTGAGACCAATATCTTTATACTTTAAAAACTTTAGAAAGTTCTTGTTATCTGCTGTAACTTGTACACTCAACTCTTTGAAACAAAAAGAATAAATAAATAAAGCAAGCAAAAATGCAGTCCTCAGTAAATGCTACAGTAGACTACTGCTGCACATATTTCCAAGGGACTACTTTTTATAGCTACTCTTGGTCTGACTCAAAGAGATGTTTGCCTGATTGACGCTGTTCTTGCTCTGGTTTATATTTCTCTAATCCAGTGAATAAAAACGATCATGGTCCATAAATTTAAAAAAATAAAAAATACCAACAAAGTTCTGATCATAACATCCACAAATTTAACAAAACAAAAGTATTTCCTCTGAGACTTCATTGGATGGGAGGTTGAGGTCTTTGAGGAGAGCTAATCTCCTCTGCAGCCACCTGCATTTTCAGGCCTGATGCAGCAGACAGAGCACAGTCTAAGCAGGGTGTGTGTGTGTGTGTGTGTGTGTGTGTGTGTGTGTGTGTGTGTGTGT